CAAGAATGCTGGCGCTATATTTAAATTAACCCATATGTGTTCGCGGCACAGTGCTTAACTAATTAAGCATAGGGACAACTATACCATCTATTTGAAGGTGATATCAATCCAACCCTTCCTGCTTACAGGAATGAGCATTATACTGTACTTGTCATATCTGGATACATGATGTAATTCTGTTATCAGTGTCTCATGTTTGCTGGATTTGGTGGTCTTAATTGTGAATGAAAAGAGTCTTTTTCCATTTGATATGACTAGTCCCCTCGTTGGTGTCTCCACCTTATCGTGGTGAGGGGGTTTGAGTATGCCAAGGACCCTGAGAGCTATACCAGCGGTAGCGTAGCTACTGGCAGGGCCTCCCTTGCTGGACAGGTCAAAGGGTAGGCATCNCGAAGAGAGACACCGAAAACTGATACCGGAAGCAGCGTCATCAGCGGCGACTTGAAGCACAGAGAAAATGATGCTCGAGATGGTTCAAGTTCGTATAGCAACAGGCGTGACCAGAGTGGTTTGAACGGCTGTTGTACTGCGATGTGGAAAGCAAATGGAAAAACTACCACATTATCACTTTTCCTGGATAGTCTCTTTCCAAAAACAGAAGATCGCATTAAGTGGAGAAACTGTTTTGGAAGAGGCTGTGGACCTGTCATCTGACAGATTACTGATGAATGAATGAATGACTAGTGTGCCTTGTTATGTGCATGTTTCAGTGCAATTATATTGCCACAGGGCCATGTTTATTGGGTGTGGTGTTCGCGCTTGGTGTGTGAAGACTGTCCTTTAACTTACTGACTGCCAAGTCCTAACACAAAACTAACTGCTTGAAATGACTTGGCTGCTGCTGGGTGGGGGTTGGGGTGAATCCAAAACACAACACAAAACTCTCAACACTTTCAAATCGCTACAGATGTATACAGTCTGAGAACCTCCTAATTCCATCTGTTGAAGAAATGTCACCTAAGTGATGAACACTGAATCCATCTTTTCAGCTCTTAAAATTTTAACATGGGTACACCAATGGAGTTAGGATAGCACAGTCGGAACAGCAACTGTCTAGAGGCTGGACGACCAAGGATGTCGAAGTTCAAGCCCAGGTAAGGTCCACTCCCCCATATAGCTTCATGGCATAAGCACAGGGACAACTTTACCATACACCATAACAATTTAATCAGCTTATGACATAAAAATGATTAATACTCTCCTATCCTTTATGCACAGATTTAAGTCCCATCCCTTCATGTTACCTGTCTTGATATTTCTATGTATTTCTCATTCTCACATCCATTCTATATGACTTCCCCACATTATCTTCTTTGAATTTATCATTCTAATACATAATACAGGGTTATTCAAAAAGAATGAACCGATTTCATGACGCATTGCTTCAGTTCTCAAGCATCGTCATGGAATGAGTCAGTGACCATTTGAAAGAGGAGTTATCTTAGTTGTGAATAGCTGCCACAGGGGCGCTGAAGTCGTGTCGTTCTTCCGGCAACGTTCAGTTGTTCGTTTACCCTCCGAATGGCGAGTCCTCAGCAAAAGGCGTTCTGCGTTCGCGAAAACAAATTCGGTTGTCACGGTGCAGCGTGCTTTTTGGAGGCGATTCGGCATTAATCCGCCCTGTCCTAAGAACATTCGACGGTGGTTTCGACAGTTTCCAGGGAGTGGGTGTCTGTGTAAAGGAAAGAGTCCAGGACAACCACGAGTCTTGGAGGAACAAGTGGAGAGAATCCGTGCTGCGTTTGAGAGGAGCCCGCGAAAGTCAACAAAGCGAGCTAGCCGTGAGCTTGCGATCCCTCAGTCCACTGTCTGGCATGTGCTAACAGTACGTCTACGTTTGAAACCATACAGACTGCAGTTCGTTCAGGCACTTACCAATGACGACAAAAGGAAGCGGATGGAATTTTACGATTCGATGCTGGAGATGATGGAAGATGAAACCTTCATTTCACGTTTAATTTTTAGTGATGAAGCGACTTTTCACTTGAGTGGCACAGTCAAGCGTCACAATGTGCGTATTTGGGAACAGAGCACCCACATGAAACAGTTCAGCACAAAAGAGATTCCCCTAAGGTGAACGTCTTCTGTGCTGTGTCTCAGGACAAGGGTTATGGTCCCTTATTCTTTGAAGGAAACACCGTTACAGGACAAACCTATCTCGATATGCTCCAAAACTGGCTCTTCATTTCACTGCAAGCAGATTCGCATGACTTCATTTTTCAACAAGATGGAGCACCGCCCCATTGACACCTGATGGTCCGAGCCTTTTTAAATGAAAAGTGCCCAGCGATGGATTGGTCGGAAGGGGGCCAAAGACCTTGCTCTTTGTGCTTGGCCTGTGAGATCCCCAGACCTCACCGTGTGTGATTTTTTATTGTAGGGATATGTAAAAGATCTCGTTTATGTTCCGCCGATACCCACTAACCTCGATGACCTTGAACATCGAATAACAACAGCGATTAACTCAGTGCATCTTGATATACTGATACGTGCCTGGGAGGAATTCTCTTACCGCATTGATGTTGCCCGTGCTACAGGTGGTGGCCACACTGAACACTTGTAAGAGAGGAAATAAAAGTTGATTGTGAGTAGAATACTTGTGACTTGGCTGGAGTTTTGTATTACTTTCCTTTAATAAAATACTGCGTAATAAAATCGGTTCATTCTTTTTTAATAACCCTGTATGCTAAATGGCAAAAACACCTACAACCATCCATAAGAAAGTGACTACATGGATTATGAAAATTAACACAACCTTGTCACAAAATGTTTGGTTTCTCTGGACTTGTAAATAGACGAATGAGAGAAATACATTCTTCCTCCTGCAAAACAAGCAGAAAACACTTACCATGGTACCTCTTACAGCAGGAAAAGTTGCTCAACTCTCTTTGGTACAATTTTTGGCTGCTGGCAATGGAGACTCCTTCGAAGTCAAAAGTTAGTTTACGCTGTTTCTACGCCTCGTCATATAGCCTAGGGGCGGACCAGTCAGAAAACAGCTCAAAGAGTTCCTTTATTATTGCGTATTGATTCGTTGCTGCGGAAACGTATCTACTGCGGTATCACTGCCGTCACTACGATCGGCCGCGCAGAACACAACGCGTCATCTGTTGTTGCGTCAGTATCCGTTGCCACGGACTCATTTTTGTCTTCCGGCTGCTTAGCAACGACAGCCTCTACGCGTTTCCCTTCTCCGGCTTTCACCTTCATGTTACAATGCCATAACTCATGACAACACAAAATGATGTGGGAAGCTTATTATATACTTCGTCATAATGTCTGGTAAACGACGTAAAGGAGCTGGAAATTCGTTCCGTAACAACGGCCACAATCCTTGCGGATTACAAGCTCTTTGTACTTTCTGCCTTAAACTAACTGTTCCATATCCAGGGGGTATGAAGTTTCTAACGGACCACCGATTGTCTGGCCGAACCATTGCCAATATCCTAGATATCTTCATCATAATTATATCTTGAAATACTTCTCCGCCTTAGAACCACGGAAGAAAAAGTAGTGTGTATATGTTATTGCTATTAATTTCTCGTAAATTTCACAAGCTCTGTTTCCACGTCATTGTGGCAACCGTGGCAACTACCGGCAACAATTTGACGAACTAGGCGTACTAAGCGAACTAGACAGCTAGATGAGCTAGACCAGCTAGACGTTGCAGTCTTCTGAGGGCGGTAGGTTAGAGCAGTGGTTCTCAACGGGAGCCATATGGCCCCCCAGTGGGCCAAGTCGTATTTCTGTGGGGCCACAGACAAAATTGGGAAAAAATGGAGGGCCATGGAAACTGTTAACCTTTAAGTGCCGAAGTGCCCCGTTTGCGCCAGTGGTGAGTAAGGTCATCGTGGCCAAAGTACCCCGTTTTGGCCAGTCGGGCATTTAAACTCCGGTAGGGGAGGCGCGCGCACGCCGCTAGTAGAAGCGAATGCACAGTCCTAAATATTTATTTTTAAATGTAGCAATTACCAGACAGACTTGAGTAAAGCCCTAATAGAAAAATTAAAATGATACTTAAGTGAACAACAACATAAAGAGTATACGTATGAGTTATGCCCAAACTCATCCACGAGCCAGTACTTTTATTGCAGATTCTGCAGATTAACCCTTTAATGCAAGTGGCAATCATGTGTACCAACAATTTTATCACTTCAATTTGTTTACTTCACACACAGTATAAAGCTTCTTGTAATAAAGAAAGAACCCCAATACACAATTAACACTTAATGTTAGCAGTTATTATACAGAACGTCCAGATGAAGGGTATCCAACATTACATAATTATATCTCAGAAAGCATTTATGATACACATTTTAGGGGTTACACCATTACAAAAAGGAAACTATCAAAGATTTTCTGAGTATATGACTTTCTCAATAAATTACAATGTGGGATCCCTTGGTGGCACAACAAATATCAAGACGATATTCGACCTTGTTCCAAGTTGCTTAAAGCATGTTTGGTATTACCATAGCCACAGCGTCCTTTGTGCAGGCTTTCAAGTGTTGAAGGTCGTTGATCTTAACCTGGTAGACAATTCTCTTCACCTAACCCCACAAGAAAAAATACATTGTGGTTAAATCTGGTGACCTAGGAGACAAAGCAATTGGTCCAACTCTGCCGATCCATCTCCTAGCCATCTCTCTGTCCACTTGATTCCTAACATGGTGGCAGAAATATGGTGGCTCTTGGGTGTAAGCAAGGCATAAAAAACGAGAGTTTTCCTTTCTGATGACATAAACCATATACGTGTATGACAGTTTCCGAGATATACATTTTTTATTTTGGATACCTTTCATCCAGACACCTGTATGTATCATATCTTTTATCAATAAGGAACTTTTCATGATGGTCAAGCACAATATATCCATATGTTTCTTAGATCCCACCGTCACAAGTGAATACCCTACACACTATTGACCTGTACTTGCAATGGTATATGGAAAATGAATAGGAAGGCAAAATTACAAATTGTTTCAGAAATGAAACACTTCAACTGAACATTTGTTCATCTATTTACAACCAGAAATTGCACATATCTTACAAAGTAGTCACACTTCAACATGTACTGATATTTGAAATTTCAGGATTTTCTGGTAGAAAGAATACATTTCTGTTATTTTGCCTGATAATGCAATGAAAATTATACCCTAGTACTTAAATTTTGCAGACAGATCAAGTTTCATTTGTGAAATGATGATTAACTTAAATGCAATAACTGGAGGTTATAAAATAGCAATAATGAGAAAACAGATTCACAGACATACGAGTATGGCCTATACTTAAATTCTAATTTTTGAAAATTTTTCAATGACCAATTCAAACTTCAATAAAATTATACTGAAAATCCAAATGTACTTTGATCTGAAGAGATCTAAAATTAGGGTATACAACTCTGTAAAGTTTCAATGCATAACATTTTTACAAAAATTTATTACAGCTCACTAAATCACTACGACTTCTGATGTGTCTTGCTTCCAACATATGCAGCCCGAATCTTCTCACGTTCCTCAGGAGGAGGTAAGTGGGGCACTTTACCTTGTTGTCTTCTATCAGCACGAATTCTTGCCTATATGGAATAACATTATTTCGTTTTATGAGCACTCCACACAATAAATTTAAATATATTGCAGATAAGACAGAAATACATACCCAAAAATTTTTGCAGCACTTGTAGTTCTCAAAATATGCAACGCATTTTTCGTTTTGATAATTATTTTTCTCCAAGCATTTGAAGACCATATCATTTTCCTGCATCAGTAAACAATAAAAGGATAAATGATTTCTTCAAGTGACCAAAATCAGTCTTAAGATTAGCACTGAGGCAAATGTAACACATTTTCTGTTATCCCTTAAAAAATTTTAACAAGATGTTGACAAAATTTGCATATATGTAAATGATGAATTAAATTGTCAGTGCCAATTAACATCTTGGTCCTTAAAATAAGATATTTACAGATCTGTAATCCTTTAGTTAATGTAAAAATAGAAAACTTGTGATACATTCCCCATTGGTGTCTTAAGAGTCCATATTGTTAAAGAGAACTGTAAAATATCAGATTTTTCTCTCTACATATGCATATGAAATGCCTTTTACAAACACATGTCTGTACAATATTCCTCTGTTGTGGGATGTGATGCCATGCAGACAGTTATTGATTGTTCAGAGGCACCATCTTCATAGCAGAGAGTAAGCCAAATGTTGAAAGAACAATGTGGATAAATGGAAAGGTAGGACTAGGACCTTAAGTATTCTTTACCCTTTTCTCCTCACTCTTACAGTTTGCTCGGAGCTCAGTCTCTTTCCCTGTATCCATATCATTTCTTCTACACAGGTGCCTCCAAGACACTGCCAGACTATACACCATAACATCCCAGATGACAGTAACCTTCATGGTTACCACTGTGAGAAACTAAAATCTACTAGGTGTCTACAGAATCTTCAGCTTTAATTTTTTAAATTTGGTATAAAATGCTATATTAAGCCACTCACAATGGAAGCATGGCATGTACTGTTCTGTACTGTTTGAACATTGAGATCACAGGTTTCGATCCCACTCAGGGCATGGATGTATATCTGCATTTTCAGTCTTTGTGTTGTCCTGTGTGTAGATGCCTTGTGACAGGCTGATCTCCCCCAATGCAAGGAATCATACAAAGTGTCTACAAACAAACAAGATTCTAAAACCAGGAAAATGGGAAACCTTGACTTGTATTGGCCTGTCATATTATGATGACGACACTGTATTAAACAATTATACTGACTAGACTACTTAAACCCACTTGCTGTATGTAGACATAAAAATGTTGCAGAGTAACTGTTAACATAACATAACACTTCATTGCATTCCACGGATCTGGAGTTAGTCAAAATGACTGTAGGATGTGGAATGTGTCATATAAATACAAAACATATGTACAGTCTCAATACAGTTCTCAAACAAGAGAAACCAAGACTACACAGTGACTACACACAAGGCTATTTAAAGATACATAAGTTATTATCTAGACAGTAGGTATTCATCAACAGAGTAGAATGAATGTGTATTTAAGTATCGTTCCAGAGCTTTTTTAAATCGTGCCTCTTAATTCATAAGGCTTTTGAGATCAGATGCCAGGTTATTAAAAATGTTGATTCCAGCATAATATGCGCTTTTCTGAAAGTATGAGGTTAGCAATTGGTTTATGAAGACAGTGTTTGTGTCTTGTGTTAACACTGTGTACATCCGCATTCATCTGAAAATGTTCTTCGTTATTTGTAATGATGTTTATTAATGAATATGTATATTCACAAGGAAAAGTTAAGATCCGTAATATCTTAAATAGATCTCTACAGAAATTACGGGATTTAACACCTACCAAGATTCTAACAGTTTTCTTTTGCAATGTAAATACCTTTTTACTCTCAGATGAATTACCCCAGAAAATTATTCCATACTTCATTAAAGTGTGAAAGACTGATTTGAGAGTGTCAATGTTACTAATATGTAACGTGAATCTAACTGCATAACATGCTCTGCTTAGCTTTGGAATCAACTGATCGATATGGTTTTTCCAGTTGAAATGATTATCGATTTGCAAGCAAAGGAATTTTGTGTTTACTCCATCTTCTACATATTTATCATTATATACAATGTTTAATGGATATTGTGGCGAGTTTTTTATAAATTTTATTACATTTGTTTTTTCTAGGTTCAGGGACAGCTTGTTTGCAGAAAACCATTTACTCATTTGTGAAAGAACCTTGTTTGTTAACATGCAGAAATCATAACACTAGTGTCATCTGCAAATATTATAGATATTGATGAGGTCCTTAGTGTAGGATGGAGGTCGTTTATATAAATTATGAAAAGCAAAAGCCCCAAAATTGACCCCTGTGAAACTCCACGTTTTATTATTCCCCAGTCTGAGTATGTACTTTGGATTGAATTTGATGATTCTTTTTCAATCTTTTGTTTCTTATCTGTTAGGTAGGATATGAATCAACTTAATGTTGTTCCTTGAATGCCAAGAAAATGTTATTTAGTTAATAAAATTTCATGATTTACACAGTCAAAAGCCTTTGCCAAGTCAGAATATTCCACCAACATGCATTTTTTGATTAACAGATTTCAACACACTGTCTGTTAACTTAAAGGCTGCATTTTCAATGGAAATTCCTTTCCTAAAGACAAACTGTTCTGGGACTAGTATATTGTTATTCTGAAAATAATGGTTTAACCTACTGTGCATAACTTTTTCAAGTACTTTAGAGAAAGTAGTTAGCAGTGAAATTGGCCTGTAGTTTGACATACTAGTCCTGTCCCCTTTTTTATATAGTGGTCTTACTACTGAAATCTTAAGATGAACAGGAAAGATTCCTGTGGATAGTGAGTGATTACAGATGTGAGTTAATGGGCTGCTGATTAGAGATGCACAAACTTTTAAAATTTTACTTGTTATTCCATCATAACTTGAAGAGTTTTTTGTTTTGAGGGAATGTATTATACTTTTTATTTCAGTTTCAGTGGTTGGAATGGTTTTAATACCAGGGAATTTTCTTGGAAATGCCTTGCTTAAAAATGAAATGACATTATCTCCCATTTCCTGATGGAAGTTTAGATTTTCTGTAATTGTTAGAAAAAAAAAAGTATTGAAGGCATCAGCAATTTCTCTTCAGTCCTCAACTTTTTCATTGTTTCATTGTATCTGTTTCTGTTTCATGTTTTATTATATTCCACGATTTTATAGGAGTATTCAATTTTGCTATAATCCTAGAGTAATGCTGCCTTTTAGCCTCTTTTATAACTCTACTCAGGATTTTGCAATACCTTATGTAGTATGCTCTCATGTAGGGATTATTACTGCTCCTGCTGTCTACATACAGACACCTTTTATGTTTACAAGATATTTTTATTCCTTGTGTAATCCAGTGGTTTTCTATTCTATTTACACTTTAGAAAAATTTAGAAAAATATATAAAAAAGAGTTAAATTTATAATTTGTATCCTTATTTTTGAAAACAGGTTCCCACGTTTCATTTTCTAATAGATGTTGAAATTGAGCAATGGTTTCACTATTCATTTTTCTGGTTCTATGTCTTAAGGGTGTTGAATTTTCTTTTGCAATATTATTATTTGCTGTAAGAAATTGAGCATCATGGTCAGAGAGGCCGCTGACTATATGAGATGTAAAAGAAGAGTTTAACCTTGCATTATCTATAAAGATATTATCAATGGCTGTGCTTGAGGAATTTTGAACTCTTGTTGCGAAATTCACTGTGGGTGACAGACTGTATGTCCTTATTAAAGTTTACTTGTTTTTTCTGTCTGCTTTCATTTAAATAGTTTATGTTTATGTCTCCACAGATTATAAACTCAGACTTTGGATTGTACATATACGAGTATTTTAAAGTTGCATCTAGTCTCCTTAGAAATTCAGTAACCTCTCTTGAAGGGGCGCTGTACAGGCTTAATATAATTATATGAGGTGTTTCAGTTACTAACTGTATTGCACAGATTTCAGTCTTACTCCTTACAGTGATGAGAAATACCAATTTTACTGAAATGTAGATCTGTCTTAACAAAAATACACACTCCTCCCCTCTGTAGGGCCTTTCAGCAAAGCTTGAGCCTAACAGGTAACTGCATGTGCAAATGTTTTTTTTGTGCACTTTTCTTGTACAGTGGGTAATTTTAAGACAACTCTACAAGAGCCAAAGGAAATGAAATGTGTGATAAAATTCACAAATAAGTTAACTGAGGTAACTCAAGGATTTATGCCCTATAGCCCAGTCATTAATGATGAAATCTGGTGTCTGGTGTCTGGGCAGAGTTTAACAACATGTTAATGAAGTGTTATGTTGGGGTCCTGGACAGACTCGCTGGGAACAGTCTAAACAAACTGAAAATGGATCTGACATTTTGAACTTGGAATACCAGGTTCATTGAAATGGTAGCAAGGAAATCAGCAAAATATATGTTGGAGTATAGGAGGTATGGTAAGACAAGAAAGGCATTGAACAGACAAATATTCTTTGGAAATAAAAAGGCTAAATAACCACTTAGACCCAGTTTCTTTAGCACAAGACAATCATATCAGCATGAGGGCACAGTTTGCTAGTGACAGGAGGCATTTACTATGGGTTGGTGGTGCATAAAGATTCATGTCCCAACTGAGGATAAGGGATACCAAGGGCACCAAAAACTTAGAGCCTGTTCCTTAATTACCAAATCAATATTCTGTTAGATGATTTCAATGCATAAGTTTGGATTGAAGATATTTTCAAACCAGCAAATGTTAACAAGACTTTTGATGGAATCAATAATAATAATAATAATAATAATAATAATAATAATAATATCATCCTTATAGACCAGGATTCCCTAATAGTTATCAAGAAAACTGGATATAGGGTATACACAGGACTCTCACAGGGAACTATTAGGGTCCTGCAAGATCCTGAGGTGCAGCAGCATAAAGAAGTTGTGTGCCCAGTTCAGTACCCTCGGAATCAGCCTCTGAGGGGGAGGGGGATGATGTGCCCACTCCCTCAGTTGACTGGAAGGCAGTATCTGATGAGAAGGAGACAATCCCTCCTCTTGTCAACCTGACCTTACCAGATCAGGGACCTCCCTTGGGGGAAACCAGGTCTGATAAAAGAAAAGGGGCTGTGGAAGAAGGTATGGAGGAAGACACCTTTCCCAGCATTACAGAATGAATATGTAACATGCATACTTACGTACATATACATACACACATGACATATGATTCATTCAAATGAACCTACACCACAGCAAGGCTGCTATGGAAATTTTATTTCACAACTTGCTGAGGGAAAAGTAGACATAGCACTTATTCAGGAACCTTGATTATACAGGGACCAACTAAGAGGCTTAACAAATTCAGGGGGAACAGTTTATTCTGTCGTACCTGGAGAAAATGTGAGACCATGTATATATGTTAATAATCATATTAATGCTTTAGCCTTGCTGGAGTCTTATTCTAGAGACACAACGGTGAGGATGACATACACATTGGGCAGATGCTGTGAGGAGCTCATCATCACTTCAGCCTACCTTCCATATGACTCGGATGAACCACCACCTTCCAAAGAAGTGAGGGACATCGCTGAATATTGCTATCTTACAAAAAAGCAGCTCATCATCGGTTGTGATGCCAATGCACACCACACATTCTGGGGGAGCGCTAACATCAACCCAAGAGAATGCCTCATGGAATATTTGGAAAGTTCGAACCTTAATATTCTAAACCAAGGTAACGAGCCTACCTTTGTGGTTTGCTATAGGCAGGAGGTTATTGACTTAACACTACGGGCCAATAAAATAGGAAACCTAATAAGTAATTGGCATGTCTCTGATGAGCCATCCCTATCGGATCACAGATATATATGCTTTCAAATAAGCAACATTACAGTAGATCAAGCTACTTATAGGAATCCTAACAGAAGCAATTGAAAGACGACCTTAAGACAAATCTGGAGACCATCTTGCAAAATATACGCACAATAAAGGATATTGATTGATCCGTTGACTAGCTGCAACAGGCTATTATCTCGTCCTTTTATTGGAATTGTCCAGCTAGGACCACTCACGAATCAAGGAGAGCGCCTTGGTTGAGTAAACAGCTGAGTGGGCTTAGAACCAAAATGAGAATGCTGTTTA